AGCATACAAACGAAGCCAAGCGACAGCTTTGACATCACTCGTGACTCAACTCACGCACTGGCTATCGATCTCGGCAATAACTTGGCGGTATCCCCTATCCCACGCCTACTGAAGTCCCCTTAATATTCAAACAACTTCATTAATTGCGGCTCTACCGTAGTCCCTGAGTCACCACAATAAGGCATCACCATTAGGTAGGACTGAGCACGGTACTTGCAGAATTCTAAACCGTTCTGAAAATCGAATGGAAATCGCTCGGAATTGAAAAATTACTATTGACCGTTTGACTTTCTCTAAACCGAGTCAAAGAAAAAATATTGATATGGTTCTGGAGATTTTACAAATGTCGTATCAAGAAGCGAACCGAACCGTCTCATACCGTACCAAACTGAAGAACTGAATTATAACATAACATGTGTATTTCATATATTTTATGTCAACTCTAATCCTATACAATTTGAGTATATACTAAAAAGCAAATAATAATTCCAATTAAACTTTATTTAAATTTTGTGATTAATAATACTTGATCTACAATTGATTTCTTTTTTCCTTTTTAAAAAATATTTATATTAGATTTGTTGGTATGTTTCTTACTTTTATTCTATCTTATAATTAAAATCGTAAGAAAAGTTAAAGAATTATTTTTTCTAAAAAAACTATATTGTTTGAATTTCAAATTTCCATTACTAGTTGCACAAATTAAGTCTTAACTAAAATTTATGAGTCACTTCTTAAGTTGTATTTCAGTATAATAATACAACATTACTAAAACTTTAGGATATAACATTTACATATAAATAATTTATTTTTATTATTTTATGTATTGTAATAAGGTAAAAATAATATAAATAGAATTTTAAATTTTATAAAATTAATTAACTGGTTTCACAATTGACTCGGTGACCTGGCGGTTAGACCGGTACCGGTCAGGATTTTAAAACTATGCTATATAATGCAAATTTTCGTTTAAATATTAGGATTTAGAAGTTAAATATAATTTATTTATTTAAATTTTCAAATAAAAATTAAAGCGTGGGCCTCAGCAAAAAATATTCTTTTGACCCACCAAAAATTCGAGAGAGGCTGTGAAATTCACGCCTTCCATGGAGTATGAAAAGTTACTGTGCAAAGGGTAGAGAATGGTGAAAATCGAGGTAAATGTGGGGAATCTACAAGACCAAACCTTTTCTCACATTTTACTTGCTGCCCATAAACACTGCCTGTGGCTCTGTACCAGCAATCAAACACCAGCTTCATGTATGCCTATATGGAGTTAGCCTGTAACCCTTAAAACTTAGATATAATTAAATTAATTAATATATAAGCTAGAATAAAATACTTTACAGTGCCACTTAATTGCACTCTTTTTATCTTAAATATATGATCATTCAACACAAAGATTTCAACGAATTAAGCTGCTCGTGAGCGTTTGAGTCAAAACTCGAGTCAAGTTGGGTTTGATTGAGATTAAATCGAGCTAGAGCATGTTGAATTTGAACTCAAGCTGGATTTGTGCTTGTAGTTTGTAAGCTCGGGTGGTCGATAAATTGTTCGAATATTAAGTGTAATTTATCCAAATACCTCTAACTTATGTTTTGGATCCTAAGTCAAGCGAAGTTTTAAATTCGGTCCAATCTGAAGCCAATGAAATTCGAATCAATCTTGAACATTTGAATAATTTTATCGTGTCGAGTTGAGTCTTAAAAAGTTTGAGTCATCAACTTCCGCTCCATCAACATTAAATATGGCAAATCAAGCTCAACTTGATAGAGTATTGCTTGACTCAACTCAACTTATTTATAGCTCTGGTCGAAAAGTTTCTTACTTCCGTCTGAACCCAATGTGAATTTCATAAACCAATTGTCAATTACCCTAAATTTTTTGTTCAACCAATATGCCTTCATTTGTGCATATACTTTTATTATTTCTGGAAAGTTGAGTGAAATCATTATTTACTTAATTATTTATTATTCCTGCGTTATTTTCAGGGAAGTTCTATAATTAATCCACTTAATCTATCTATCTATATATAATTACTAGCTAATAGCATTTAAGAAAACTTATTTAATAAAACCTTTAAAATTTTTCCTCCATTTTCGGTTACAAAATTTATTATTAATATTTTTTACTTCTCACATTAATACATCCTATTAAGTGTAAGACTGTAATCATGTATTTTTCTATTATATATTATATAATAATTAATGCTAATACCAACTAATAATAATTCACAATAAATATAAATTACATAATTATAAACAATTGTTTCAAGTTATTTATTTTAACAATATCAATATTGTCTTTTTTTTTGTATCTCATGAAAAAATTTCTTTAAAAACAATTAGTAAATTGTTTTAATAGCATAGTCAAACAACTTTAGAATCTTATAAACAATTTTTTTTGTAATAATAATAATAATAATAATAATAATAATAATAATAATAANGACGAGTCATCATGACAAGTGGGCCAAAAAAAACCCAAAGCCACCCTTTAAATTCAACCATTAAATTCACACTACCACACCTGACACAACAAACAAGCAAGCAAAGCCAGAACAATAACGTCCCGTTCCTTTTCTTGACTTCCTTAAACTCAAGTCACATTTGGAAACAATCATATATCTCTCTCATTTTTTCCCCTGTTTTGGACATTCTCATTCGAAACAAAACCGGGTCACGAAGAAAATCGGACAAAACGGGTCTCCCCGTGTGGATGTTGGGTCTCAACATGGACCGGCTTCGTGTTGATATGAACCGATTGCTCGCCCTTCTTTTCCATCAGGTCCAATTACTCTACCAAACACACTTATCAAAACCCATTTCATTTCTTGTTTGCATGATTTTCCCGCGAATCGTATTAGGTAGTTAAAAAAAAAAAAAAGATATGATTTTCTTGGGTGGTTTTATTTATTTATTCTTTTTCTTTAGGGAGTGTTGGATGAGCAATTTATACAGCTGCAACAATTGCAAGATGAGTCCTCCCCAAACTTTGTCTCAGAGGTTGTCAATATATATTTTCAAGAATCCGAAAAGCTCCTCAAGAACCTCAGAGGCTTGTTGTGAGCATTTTTTTTTTTAAATTAATTTTGTTTTTATTTGTACTAAAAATTTGATACTTAGCATGAAAGTTGTTCTCTTGATGCTTTTTATAGACCTTGGCAATTGACAAGTACATTCATCTTTTTCCACATTTAAGATTGCTAAAAAAAGGTGTNATCCGAAAAGCTCCTCAAGAACCTCAGAGGCTTGTTGTGAGCATTTTTTTTTTTAAATTAATTTTGTTTTTATTTGTACTAAAAATTTGATACTTAGCATGAAAGTTGTTCTCTTGATGCTTTTTATAGACCTTGGCAATTGACAAGTACATTCATCTTTTTCCACATTTAAGATTGCTAAAAAAAGGTGTTCTTTGAGGCTATAAGACTCTCTTCCAATNTTTTGTTTTCTATATAATTATATATTCGATTTTAGGGTGGATAAGGAATTTTCGGACTATAAGAAAATGGGGATGCATTTGAATCAATTAATGGGAAGCAGTTCAAGCATTGGTGCGCAACGGGTCAGAAACGTGTGCGTTGCATTTCGGGCTGCATCCGAGCTGAATAATCGGGCCGGGTCGGTTTTGACCCGTTTCCTTTATCCAATAATTTTTATTTTCATTTTTCACCATATTAAATCATTTTAATGCCAACAGGTGCTTGAGAGCATTAGAGGTGCTAGAATGTGAGTATTGTTATCTCAAGAACAAACTGCATGAACTCTTGGAGGTGGGCCCAGCACTCAAACATATGCAACAATTTGTCTAACTGTAGATTAATGTTGTGTTTATACAAATTACCTGAGATTGAAATCTAATTAATTAAATCTATTTCGATTTGTTTGGTGAATATATCATTTTCAGATTGAGCAGCAAAGAATGCTAGCAGCTTCAGTAAGATACCCTCAGCAACAGCACCCAAACAACCCCTGATAAAGGGCTACCAATTTAATTGAAGAATGTGTGCTTTTTTACTCTCTTTGTTTTAATTCTTTTTTTTTTTTTTTTTTNAATCAAATTGCAGACAAAAAAGGGTGAAACAGAAAGTGAGTCTGCTGATGGTGACAGGATTTCACCTGCATTTAATGCAAATATTAATATTCCTATTTTCCAAAGTCTTGTTTTGGATTGAGATTATTTTTTTCTTTCATGCTTTTTCTTTAGCTGGCAATTAATTTATTTATGCAGTGGTAGTTGAACCAAACTGCTTATGATTCTCATGTCAAATCCCAGTCCCAAGTCCCAACACATTATATTTACACATGTTGAACCAAATATGATTCTCATATCATACTTCTGCTTTTTTTTTTTCTTTTCCTTTTTTCTGTTAACCAAATAAAAATAAAATTAAATTTTTAATAAATCTCAGTTGCACATATGACATACCAGTCCCATTTATATATATTTATTCGGCCGTGTTTCTTAGTCTGCGGTTCCGATTTGGCATTAAATGTGTTAAATGGACTATGTGTGAAAAAACGTTTTATTAATTTTTGTATGTGAGAACTAACAGTTATACATTTACATTTTTTTTAGCAAATATATATATACTTTTAAGCTAAAGAGATGACATATAAATCAAAATATTTCATAACGCAAGTATGCATTTTCATTAAAAAAGTATGATGGATCAGAAGTTTAACGATTGCCATCTCATACAATAGTTATTGTATATTTTGTTTGTTGAAAATTGTTTTAATGTCATTAAAATTGAGAAGTAAGAAAATAATTCTTTTCGAAAATAGAAAATGGCATCCTATGTGACAGATCCCTGAATGTGATGAGTCTAAGTGACACATTCGCATTATTCGGGATCCTATGTGACAAATCTTTAAGTTTTGTTGTTTGACTTGGATGAATTTTAAATTATTTCCAATCTAAAAGTAACTACACTTAGAATATCCATAAATATACCGGATATTTATGGTCCCTTTTAAGAGCGCTAATAATGTTTTGATATTATTTCTATTGTAGACATGATTTATAAGGTGTAATTTTTATTCTAATATTTATTTTAAAATTATAACAAATTTACTAACTTAAATTATAAATATATTTAAAAGTTCATAAATTCTTTATTTATTAAATTATTTATTAATATTAATTCAAAAAATAAGATTATTTAAACTAAGTTAACTACAAAGTAGTTATCCGATATAAATAAAAATAATAATATAAGATGGTAAGTCGTGTAAGTGACAATGTCATTTTAAATATAAATAATAATTTATATTTTCAAAAAGTATTTAAAAACTAAAACAAATCTTGATATTATTATTATTCAATTCTAAATATAAGAGAAGAGATCATATGAGAATGGTAGATAGTGAAAGAAATAAGAATGACTATAAACCATTGGATCGGTACGATCAATGGACATAATTAAGTCAAAATTGATTACAATGGTCAAACCTGGAATGGCAAAAGGGTAAATACATTATTATATCATGGGTAAATCACTATTTCGGAGGGCAATTGTGTGATTTCGGCCCCACACACATAAATAATTCACCCATTACCTCTCTCCTCTCTCATCTCTCTCACTTTCCATCTACCACCGTCTCCTCTCTCCTCTCTCTCACCTTCTCCATCTCCTCTATCCATCTTATTCCCGCATCTTCCCGTCGGCAGCCCATATCGCAACCACAGATGCATCCCACCACCGCAACAAGCCCGCCGGTAATGTCGCCGCCGTCGACAGACCCGCTGTCTCCACCGTCCGCCGATTCCGGCAACTCGTCCAGAGCCCACGGTGACAGTCCCCAAGTCGACGGCCACAGCAATCACCGCCGTCAACAATCCTCCACCTCGCTTCCGCCTTCCGCCACCAGTACGCCGCTTCGCCTCGGCCGTCCGGCCACAGCAACCTCGCCTAGCCTCCGCCGTCTACCACCGTCTCCCAGTCGCAGCAACCATCTCGTCGCCGCCAACAACCACGCATCTGACGTCACCTCCGACAACATTCCCAGGTGACGCCACAGCAACCAGCCCACCGCATCTCCGTCGCGGCCATCACCAGAAGAGTTGCAGGTCGCCGGCGGCGCCACCACCCGCCTGCTGCGCCGGCCCTCGCCCGCCTCCACTCAGCCCGTCGCAGCACAGATCTGCCGTACAGTAGAAAAAATTGAAACGAGATTCTGCATTTTTGTAGGATTTGGGGCTTTGTTTTGAAAATTTGACATGTTTAAAGGAGTTAATTGCAATTTTATAAACTTTAATACGTTTCAATTTAGTTCAGTGGTTAAATTTATAATTTATAAAAATTTCAGTAATTGCACATTAGTATTATGTAAATTGCACATTAATGATAATTTCATCGCACATTAATGTTATGTAAATTGCACATTAATATTTTTATCTAACTTTTAATTATTTTTATTAAACATATAATATTTTTTATAAAAAAATTCAAAATAGTATTATTTCATATAGTTTTTCTGGTTATTTTTAAAAAAGTAAAAAATAACATCGAACAAAAATAACTAAAATTTTAAAGGTAAACACATATAATTTATCCGACATAAAATTCGAACACAAAAAACGAATTCGGTCACGTTCAGTCGATATAGTGCATTTCGTCATTCAATGAGGTGCAATACATATAACATTAAAGTGCAATATTGCATTCATTAATGTGCAACAGTATAACACTAATGTGCATTCGAAGTGCAATTATTTTCTTTTTATATAAAAATATATTAAGTATTTGTAATATTTTAACCTAAATTATTGCCGTTATTTTTTTAAAAAAATAAAATTAAAAATGACATCGAACTGAAATAACTAAAATTTTAAAGCTAAACACATATAATTTATCAGACATAAAATTTCGAACACAAAAAACGAATTCGGTTAGGTTCAGTCGCTATAGTGCAATACGTCATATACTAAGGTGCAATACATATAACATTAAAGTGCAATCTGACAATCATTAATGTGCAAACAGTGTAACGCTAATGTGCATTCGAAGTGCAATTATTTTCTTTTTTATACAAAAATATATTAAGTATTTGTAATATTTTAGTTAATATTTTATATTTTTGTTTGATGAAAATATACTTTTTTTGTATAGTTCGGTTCGTTCAATTTTTCTTTTTTTAGTAACTAAATCGAAACTCAGACTGAAATAGCCTAAATTTTAATATTTTGTGAAAAATTCACATTGTTATGATAATGTGCATTTTCGAACACATTCCTGTGCATATGTTTTATCAGTATTGTGCAGTATGACAGTGACTAACGTCCATCATTTGTTTATACTCTTGTGCATCTTGTCGTGCGAGATTTATTTATTTATTTATTTATTTGTGCAAATCCAATCTAAAATTGAACATAAATAAGTGGATTATTCGGTTAGTTAAATTTAACCTATTTACATTTATTTAATAATCCAATCTAAAATTGAACAGAAATAAGTGGATTATTTGGTTAGTTAAATTTAACCTATTAATATTTATTTAATATTTTACATTTATTTTTCTTATACACATTTGGCCCAATGTATAAAAAATGTAAAAGAAATAATATTTTTTATATAGTTTTTAAAAATTATGTATTTGGCCCATGGACCAAATCAAAATTTAATTAAAATTCTTTAAATTGTAATTGGGTCCTTCAAGGTTATCAAATTCTCAAATATAAGCCCTCACTCCAAACTACTTCTCCATAATTTTTCCGGCCCCTGAAATTCGGCTACGCGCCATGCCCCACCGTCCGCAGAGGTACAAGCTGTTGGAAGGTCCCGGTTGGCCGCGAATGTAAGGTCGCCGGAGACGAACTTGTCCGATTTCCGATCGTTTCAGACGTCACCGTATCCCTGTTCAGACAACACGAGATCGGTGGCTTGAGGAGACGGCGTCCTGCGGCGGTGACGCGGCGGCGACATGGCAGTGCGGCGGGATGGATGAGAGCGGCGACTGGACGGCTGAGAGCAGCGACGGGACTGCCGTGAGCGGCGCCGGAAAATGGTGTGGAGTCACTGCCGGAGTTGTGTGCGTAAGTGTGTGTGTGTGCGCGTGCGGCGTATGTAATCTGTATGTATATGTGTGTCTGCGTGTGTGTGGTGTGTGTTGGTTGTGTGCGTGTGTGTGGTGTGGGTGTGTTCTGTGAGAGAGAAAGGCAATGGGAGAGAGAGAGTGGGGCTGAGGTGGCAGGGCTTAGTGGGTGTATTAATGGCGTGGGGTCCATTGTTTGTGTGTTAATTTACCACATTACCCTTAATGAATGTATAATTTTTGTATTTTTCATCCATTAGATCATCCGATCTAATGACTACAATCCATTCTTATTTCTCGCATTAAGCATCATTCTCACCGGAGCGTGACCCCTAAATATAATTTTTTTAACATGTAATTGTGTAGTACATAGGTATTATACTAGTAGGTTATAATTCATTGAGAGGAAAAAGGAGTGAAACTCTACACCCATCAGGAAAGTCTAAAATATGGAGGGACTTATTTTATTAACATGAAAATATGTCAAAGAGAACATGACCACGGTCCATGGGACGATAGGTGGGCTAATGGAAAAGATTCTCATTAGCATAACTATTGACCGATTTAATCTGGGCTTGTGTTGTGGCACAGGCCCAATTTAAATTTATGTTCACATACGGTGGATCTTATAGTGGCGAAATTTTTTATTAACCACAAGATTATAAATATATTTCATTTCTACGAGATGAGAGATTTTATTTGCATGTATACCAAATTTAGCGCATTTATTTGTGTTGAATCAAAAAATTCAGTTACCAAACTAATCTTCCTTCAATCACGCATCTTTAAGATTTAACAGACAAAAAAAGGTAAATGTATATAACTTACTAATTAGGAACCTGTTCAACCAGGTATATTTCTTTCAACGTTTTTTTTTATTTTCTTTTTAACTTTTGTAATTTGTCTTGATTTATTATGTTTATTGTTTGTATATTTACAATATATAAAACAAGTTACAAATCGTACTCGTGTACATATACTAAAAATATACAGTCGACCTTAACATACACTAACAAAAAAAAAAATATATTTGTCGGGAACATATACAGAAGATATACTCATTGTATACCGTTGATATAAAAGAAAATACACAACATATATAAAGAAGATATATCAATCTTGTCATTATAAACAAAAT